CCCCCCCCCCCCCCCCTATACTTTGACTGGTCCCTAAGCTTGTATACCTTTTCACATCTTAGATGCGGTACATGTAGGGTAACATGCATAATACGCAGTTGTCGTGGGTATAATAATTATGAAAGCGGATAACCACATCTTTTCCTGGTAGCTACAAATTAATTGTACGTATTTCTCTACTCTGCCAATTCCATGCAGGATAGATAGCACTTGGCCATGGAGTGAAATCGTTTATTTGCAATTAAATTCTTCCAATCCTTACTTGTTCTGCTTTCCCAACCACTATAAATCGTGGTGATTGGCGGAGGACGTGGTTAAAGTCTTTAGTTTTAATGCGCTTGAAGCTTTTCAACTGGACCTGACAAGAAAAAAGTAAACTGATTAAACAGTAATTTATTTTCCTGATCATTCTAGCGTTTGGGAATGCATCAACAAATTGTGTTTGAAAAAAACTTTGTGCTCACGATATTCAATATTTATAAATAAACACATGACAGAAATTATAGTCTTGAAATCATGTTTTAACTTGCCGCATAAAATTAATATATTTGTCAGTTATATGCTCTTATTATTTATTTAAAAAATTCCTGGTTTCTGATTGGCTAACAGCTAACAGCCAACTGTGAAATTGTCATATCAAATCAATGGCTAACCAATTATGGATTTTTCACATCCATATTAGCAAAATGACCTCAGCGAGTCAATATGAATAAATTATTGAATTCGGTTTTCGCACAATATGAAGAATTATTAAGCCTTCAGTTTCCCGTATACATATGTATATATTCGATAAGAAAGTAAATCTACGAATCTGAAAATAGGATAACCAGGCTTTTTAAAAGCGTTTTTCAAAAGAATGGTCTAATTATCAAATTAAATATGCAACGACGTTGACATGCAACGACGCGTGGTATGATTTTGGGTTCAAATAAACGCAGGACAACAAATCGCCGTCATGCAACGCTGTCGTGCTGCTGCGTGATCACGCGTTCGACTTTAGAGCAACAAGAACTTTTGATTAAATTTAGAAATCGTATATCAATGTGACACAAGTGGAGGACGAAGGATTACGAACAGCGATCAAACCCGGTGATGCCACCATGGTGGATGGCGAGAAATCTGCTTGAAGGAAAGCATGCACATTAATTTCTGGAATTAATTTAAAATTTTCGTTTGGCGTAGATTATTAGAAATGCCATGAGTATTTAATAACATCCGTTTTCACACTTTTACAAATCAATCTGATTGGTTTATAATTACCAGTATAAAACCACGTATAATTTCTGCACCCATGTTACACCCATGAAAAATCGCACACATTCAAATGAATACGATTGGAACGCTACCTCCAACAGGAAATTGAAACTTTTGAAACCAAACTTGAAGGCCAGTCCCAGTCTTTTCACTCATGCAAAGAGCGCTGAATCACAATCATGCTATAGACTAGGGAGTCTTGACCCCCAGATATGCGCGTCTGGGGGTCAGATTTGATTTAAAAAAAAAACATATGCGGTTTATCTACAGGTACCACTCCCGTTATATTCATTGAATGAATCGCACCATATTGAGCGTCAATCTTCTCTTTTTAAGTTTTAATCGCATCATTTCTAAACAAATCAGATTGATATTCAGCACTAGCGGGACCAATACAAGTATATAAATGAGCTAGCCAATTAGTTTTAGTTAAGAAAAATGTAATAGGGCAAATGAGTAGGAGTTTATTGCAACATACTAATTAAAGTAGAATTACATACCCAATTTGTCATTCAACTATTTATCTCCGATTTGAATAACTAAAAGTGATATTTTTCACATTCTTGCGTGTATTGTTCAATTCTACGCCAACATTGACGTAAATACTCAGTGGTTTCTGTGCGAGGAACTAAGGTATAAGTTAAATTGATTGCTAAAAATTCTATCCAAATTTGCGTACGGAGTATTGTTTTAGATATGCAACCACTTCATTTACTTCAATTTTGAACACTCGCTTGAACAATGCCCAAATTGTTTCGAAATTTACAACAAACTTGAAAAGGAAGTAAATTGATCAAATATTTATTTCGAATAATTAGCAATTATTGGATGAGGTTGACCAGAATATCCAGAATTGTTCAGGCTGCAGAAATCAATGTTATCTGCCGAAAGCTGAGACAGATAACATTGACCAAGGTCTGAATAATTGATTGTTATGTTGTTAGTTGTCATCCTCGTTCCCAGGACTTTTCGGCTGCCGGACGTTGCCATAAGCCCTGAGACAAGCCACACCGGGACACCACAAATCTCGGTGTTTTCAGGCAAATTTGGCCCTCCACTGCTCTTCTAGGCGCTAAAACGTCGTTTCTATCAATGTAAAATTCACTTTCACTGTGTTCTTCGTCGTCTGCAGACATTTTAATGTTAAAAAGTAGCCTTAAATAAGCTCGCCTTTAAATTTTCAAAAATAAAAACATTGCCTTTACGGCTTTAAATTTCGCGCGGTCCGTACGGGCTCATACGGACCGCTCGCGTAGCCAACCAGATTGCAGAAAAGCGTAAAATATGATTTCGGATCGCAAGAAAAAAAATAAAATAGAATTACGACAGATGCTCTCCAGCTAGACAGGCTTGCCTAAGACACGGAAAGTGTTTTGAACTGGGGATGTTAAACTTGATTTTACCCTTCTAGGCCGTTTGTCGAGGCATAAAAAAGTGCCTATAAAACGATTTTCATTTACCGTGCCTCGTAACTCAAATACTTTTACATAACTTAGCACTTCTAAACATGCTGATTCTGAATCCGAACAGTTCCCGCTCCGTAGAACCGCAGTATTTTTGTAAAATTCATGTTTATTTGCACTCCTTTGACGAAATTCCAACAACCGCACGCCATTTTGTTTATTATTCCTCGATGCTTCGAATTAAATTGCATCGCTCAAATGTGTGTTTACTCCGTTCCAGTCTCTTCAAATTGCGGCCGCGTTGTCATTTAGAACGATGGGATGTTACTAGTAATGTGGGGGAAGCCCACTGACCTATAAAATAACTGGAACGCTAAAACCAGGTGAATTTTTGAAGCC